ATAATAGGTAGCGTAGCAGGTGGATATATCAGCGTAAGTTGCTTCTGGGAAAAAGATCTAAATATAATTCTCGGTAATGACATTTTCAGGATCGAATGGGCTGTCGGTCGCCGCTTATCGTAGCTATGCTTGCATCTTCTATAGGAGCCTTATTCATGTATTCAAATGCAGGTATGAGAAGTCGTTTTTCTTACGCAATTAAAAAAAAAGAAATAGTGAATTTAGGACCAGCGCTCTTCTGGAACGCAGTAATCATGACTATAGTGGGTATCACTATTTCTGGACCATACAATCTCATTGTTGGAACAATATCAATAGACTTAGGATCTCAACCTGCTCTACAAAATAATGCTCAAGTAAGTACAGGAACTTTTTCTGATTATCATGTTTTTGTAAGCATGATGAAAGATTCTTGGTATTGCACTCCAGGTCAATCCAGGCCGTATTTTTCTTGTTAAAAATGAAAATTTACTACAATTTTGCTATAGGCCATGTCCACTGTCTCTGGATTGTTGGACGGTACCGGATCCGTTGGCAGCGCCGTCGGTCAGCTGGGCATTCCAGTTTTACAAAATGTTTTTGGATGGCAGTCTGTGTTCTACCTCTTTATGTTCTTGGTTCGTTAATTTCTGGCTTATAATCTATCTCTTATTTGAATTATTTTTTAGAATCTTCTCGCGATTGTCTGCATCATGCGACGCTGCCTTGCCGATCTAAGGTTAATGTTTGAGAAATCTAATGAGCTTACTCCTCTTCTCATAGAAGAGAGCGATGAGTAGTTCACTTGATACCACTGTGATAACAGTCGCTTTTTTGACATTTTTTCCATCGAAAAACGGGCTAAATTATATCTCAGAAGGATAAGTTTTATCACGAAACTTTGCCTACTTTATACGTGTTTCACATAATGCTTGTATCTGCTTTGTTGCAATTTGTTTGATATTTGCTTTTGTGCTATAACAGCTATGCTGCATTCTAACTCACGCATTGGAATCATCATGTTCTCAGCTTCTGTAGATTGATGCAATTTGAGTTCGGCATAAATTTGTTGAAGTCAAGCAAGTAGGTCAGTTTAATCAGTTTTGTAGCTGATAGCATAGAATACAGCAGGAATGAGAGCTAATCGTGGAAGTAATTGGATGTTCTAGTCATAGTATGTTCCTTCGTCCAAGCATTTCTTTGAAATCGAGTTTCTCCCTCACCCTTGAGAAATGTGGGAAAAAAGAATGGTACGTTTGCAGTCTTTTCGAGTTCGCGATGGCTCTTGCTCCCAAATGAGTGGGCCGACATTCCTCACTCACGTTGACACTAGTTATTCGCTCTACCAAAATCCTTTCATAGAAGAGCCAAAGGCATCCGCTTACTCCGAACTCTTCCGCCAAAAATGCAATTTTTGGGCACTTTCAACATGTTCCCAAGCATAGTTCAGTCAGTACCTAGGCTCAGGAACAACGGGACTGTGTACAACAAATAAACAGTAGTTCAGTGAATTGCATGATTTTGCTCTATTGAATGTGCATGGTAGTATTTTGATAACTTTGGCAACCAGTGGCGGTCGCAGATATTCTTTTCGTTTAAGTAAAAAGCGTAGTATAAAAATTTTGGAAGACACGCAGAGTTACAAGGATTTGCTTCAGTTTAAAAGATTTGCCCTATTTGCTAGCTATTAAAATTCCCGCAAGTCGCAATACAGAGGGTTGTAAAGTCCAGCAGTTATCTCAGCACTCTCTCATTGTTTCATATTATGAATATAACACCTAGAAAGAGGAAGAAATTCTGCATAGAATTTAGCTTGAAATGTTTTTATCTTCACTGTACGAGATTTGAAGGTCATCTCAAAAAAGTAACAGAACTTTGGACCGACTAATATGAGGGTTTCGCCCATACTTCGAAAGATCCGCTATATTACACAGTCATAGAGAGTACTGATTATTCAGAAAAGATGTGGGTTATTATTGTGAGCGTTATTTTTCGTGGCGACGGAAACTCTTGCTTGAAGCCCTTGTTGTGAGAGTTCTTTCTTATAAATGGCGACTTTGACATTCTACAGTGTGCTTCATAGGTAAAAACTGCGTTAAGTTATTTTTGACACGGGGTATAGACTCAGTAAGTCTAAAAACAAAGATTCTCGATGATCGTTTCGATCATTCCATACTTCTTTTAGGTTGTCAAGAAAATAATTTCTTTTCAATTGCATGCTCAGCAAAGCAACCGGGTTCAGCCCAGACAATGCCAAGGAGTACTGTTCGATAGAGCAAAGCAAGCTCTACAAGCTGG